TATAAAACAAGCATATAGAGAGTATGTATATATGTGGGGACTCCAAAAAGTTTGTGGAAAAACTTCCATTCTCTTTTAATTTAATTTTTCCACAAGCTTCTTGAAGCCCCCTCACGTATCTAATAAAGCAATATTGTAGCATACATTACATGTGAACTGATAAAAATGAAGCTCTTTTTAAAATTACTTTATTCTTTTGCCTTGATTTATTTATTAAAACATATCTATTTTCCCATAGATGTTTTTCTACCCACACCAGATAGCTTACTTGTGAATCTATGTGAAAGTAAAGAGGTGAGGTTGATTTTTTTTTTCCCCTTAAAATGTGTGTTATTTCAACAGTCTACTTGAAATGTTTACTATTTGTTTACTTGGCATGTTTATGGAAAACAATAGACCATATAGATAACTATCTATTGATGTCTCAGTTACAGTCCCCTAAACTGACCTGCACTGGCACATACTAGACTCTGGAATGTTTTGAAGGAAAATACTGCCTTGCCTTTTCAGTAATTCCTCTTTTCATCTTTGTTTTCCCAGCTTATCAAAGACCTATTGAATGCATTACCAAACATGTTCACCAATACAAGAGAAACGCACAGTGCCCTTGGTCCTGCGCTTCAGGCAGCCTTTAAACTGATGTCTCCAACAGGTGGCCGCGTGTCTGTATTTCAGACACAGTTACCTTCCATGGGGGCAGGACTTCTGCAGTCGCGAGAAGACCCCAATCAGAGATCGAGTACAAAGGTATTTTATATCTCTTCCACCTGTAGACTCTGCTTTTTCATTATTCAACCTTTTCTACTTCATTAGTAATTTAAAAAACAATAGAGTTTACCTCCAGTTGTCTTGTTTTTGACTACTGTATATACTTGTGTATGAACCGAATTTTTTAGCACATTTTTAATGCAGTTTTTGCCGTAAAATTAGGTGCCTCGGCTGATACTTGGGTCAGCTTATACTCAGGTATATACTGTAATGTATGTTCTGTTTATTACTTTGATTACAAGTCAGAGGAATATAGAAATCATTTGCTCAAGCCTTTTCTTTTAAAGATGAGAACACAGGTTAAAAGTATCTTGCTAAAGATAAATTCCTAATTGGAAAGATGTGACTTAATTTTCTGACTCCAGTGTTGTTTTGTTTATGTATATGGTAATATAAAATCGGAGATGCTAGAATTTAACATGCTCAAAGTCACACCCTTTTAAGTGATATCTAGGATAAGCAGATCTTACACTGTATGAAATATTTTAAGTACTAATTTAAATATTTTATTTTAAAAATGTAATACAAATCACTGTATAAAACTTGGACTAAGAAAAAATATAAATCATCATCTCATGCTCAAAATATGTACTAGTTGGCTACGTATATACTGTATTTTTTAGATATGCTGTATTTTTTAACTGACTTCACATTTTCTGAGATTCCTAAAAATTCCTTGTCCTCCCAATATTCTATGGTAATAGTGAATATTCAAAGTACTCTACTTACCTAACTGTCCCCCAGTCATAGGATAGTTGTCTATGCATCTTTACTATTTAAAAAAAAATACATCTTCACTATTATTATTATTATTTTAATGTGATGATGAACAGCATCACTTGGGCCAAGGTGCTTTATTTTGAAGAATATATGAATTTGAGTATTCATAACTATTTTGTCTGTGAGTTCTATCTGACCTCAAACTATATGAGAAGATATCATTAAAATTAGCTGCAAGTGTGAGTTGAATTGACATTTTTTTAGTGTCATAAATTTTAGTCACTTGAGCTTTTCCTTAAGGCAGATTCCTGTAGGTGGAAATGACTAGTTCAAACAGTGTTGACTTTACAGTTCTGTTAAGGATGTATTTCCCTTGTTTGTTTGTTTTATCTCTCAATGTGTACTACTGAAGTGTCTTATCCTCTGGCTACCACTATCGTTGTCTTTTTAATTGTCAATTTCCTAGAGTGAAAGGACATTTTAATTCTTAGAGAATTTGTAATTTTGAATTTATTTTGAAGGGGGAAAAAAACTAGAGCAAATGTATTTTTAACTGCATTAACAAGTGTTCAATTCATTGATTTAATGGTCCCATATAAAATATTGCATATTTTGAACAGAAGAAATGGTCATATTTGCATTGAATCCTTTGATGCAGTTTTTCATTTGATTTTCAAAAATATTCTTTATTTAAACTATGACTCAGTAGCTTAAGTGTCTGTTTTGGTTTGCATATGTTATACATCTGATTAAATTTTTATATAATAATAAAATTATAATGCAAGGATTAACATTTAGTTATGCTATTGATAGAACACAGTGATTGAGAATTTAAAACATCTCTCTTGTATTTTTAATTCTTGGGTCCAGTGCTGCCTCCTCAGCTTAAGTTTTCTTCTTAGAATAGGAAAAACATCTTCAAGCCTAATTTGTTCTTCTCGCGTGTTACTGTATGTGTAGAAACACTTACGTGCACTCTGTATTCAGACTGCTTGGGGTCTTCCTCGTTCCCACTCAATAGCTGTGTCATCCTGGTCAAGGTACTTCATTGTGGGGTTTTTCCAGGCTTTTTTTGTTTTGTCTTTTGGTTGTTACTGTTTTTCAGTTTCATCATGTAAAATGTAAACATTAGAAATGTTGAAAATATGTACCATTGTGAGGAATAAGTGGTTCGTTTACATGAACATTTCAAACAATCGAGCCACTCTGACTCTCAGCAACCCAAGGCTGTCAATCTTTACCAGAGTAGACAAGGCTGCCTTTCTTCCACACAGCAATGGGTTGGTTTGAGCTGCTGACTCTGTGGTTAGCAGTCTGGCGTCAGCAGGGCTCCTCCCAAGGAGTGCAGGCACATAGTAGATTTTTTGCCAATGCTGGCTATTATTATTATTATTGGAAATGTGGGCCTAGTGCCTCACACAACTCACTTCAATTAAGTGCTTGCTGTAGGGAGGACGGGTAAAGATGCTCCCCGGGTTTCAAACTGCCCGACCCGCAAGCCACTGCACCACCAAGGCCAACTGCCTAGACACGACCAGAAAGCACTCCTTCGTTTGCTGGCTACACCAGAGATCCCCTCTTTATTATAAGACAGGCATAGAGATATGTGCATGAGTAAAGGTGTCCAGCTCTTACTTTGTCATCTGTTGACTCAGGTTGTACAACACCTTGGCCCTGCGACTGACTTTTACAAGAAACTCGCTTTAGATTGTTCCGGGCAGCAGACTGCAGTGGATCTGTTCCTTTTAAGCTCACAGTATTCTGATCTGGCTTCTCTAGGTAAGGAGATAGTTGGGGAACCAGAGGGATTTACCGAAACCGACTTAATATATGATTAAACCTTAACTCTTCAGTTCTCAGGTTGTTTTTTTGTATGTTTGTTTGTTTGTTTGTTTTTTGGGGGGGATTGCAAATTAAAAAACAATACCTCTGGGATTATTTTAATATCTATGTTTAAATATTAATTATTTTAATTTAAATCACTTATATGAATAAAAAGATAATATCTATGAGGATTATTCCAGGAAACCTGAGCTGTCATTGAGTCGATCCTGACTCGTAGCAAACTATAGGACAGGGTAGAACAGTCCCTGTGAGTTTCCGAGATTAAAAATCTTTATGGGAGTAAACAGCTTCATCTTTCCTCCCACGGAGCAGCTGGTAGTTTCAAACTGCTCACCTGTTCAACATTATGCCCTCCACTTGCCACCCAGTTGATTCTGAGTAGCGCTGCTCTGTCGGGTTTTCTTGGCTGTCATCTTGACAGAAGTCTCCAGGCCTTTTCTTGCTTGGTACCACTGGGTGGGTGCCTGCCTTTCAGTTAAGCGCTCGAGAGCAACGAGGATTCCCTTGCCGTTCTGTTCAACAGTAACCTATATTGTGTAAATTTTATTTTATAATGCTTTTGTTTGCTCAGATTTATCTAGTCGTCTTTTGACAGCTTAGATCGTCTTATTATGATAGAGGTTTCTTCAGAATGCAGGATCTGCCCTATCATAGGGACAAGTAGGCTATTGCTTCTGTAACTAATGCTTTTTACAATTTCTCTCCAAAGCTTGTATGTCCAAGTATTCTGCAGGGTGCATCTATTATTACCCATCATTCCACTGCACTCACAATCCTTCACAAGCAGAGAAACTACAAAAAGACCTAAAACGTTATCTGACGAGGAAAATTGGGTTTGAAGCTGTAATGAGAATAAGATGTACTAAAGGTATGAAATTATGAAAGTTTTGCTTTATCCTGCATATTTATATCAAAGTTACTACCCATGATGAAGACTTATTATAGAGGATTTACTGGTTTAAGTATATATCTCACGGCTAACAAGTCAATACTGGCCCATAACAACCCTGTAGGGCAGGGTAGAACTGCCCCTGGGAGCTTCTAAGACTGTGACCATTGACAGGAGTAGAAAGCCCCGTCTTTCTCCTGTGGAGCGACTGGTGGTTTCAAACTGAAGAATTTGCGCATTGCAGCCCAATGTATACCCAGTGTGCCGCCAGCACTCCTTTAAAGCATATAGTCTAATTGAGTTCATGGAACTTAAAATTAGATCCCACGCTGAAATTGATTTTAAAAGGAGAAATCAGGAAATATACACGATCTAAAACATAAATTATCAAATTAAGGATCTTTGCCTGCATAATTGTTTAAATAATCCTCATTGTCATTTCCTTGCCTTTTGTTGACTGTTTGCTGGTGGGATTTCCGACCTTATTTTAAATATAAAACGAGTTGTCCAGTAACCCCCATTTGTTTAATTTTATAGGTTTGTTCATGGTCTTACTTCAAATTAGAAAATATTAATACGATTTATTGTTAATAGAAGTTAAAAAAGCAAACTCACTTTTACATAACGTGCACTGGTTCTTTGATTTTACATTTTAGAACATCAGTTCACACTTCAAGCCTACTTCCTCAGCTAGCCCTTTGATTGAAATTCAGACATCTGCAACTTTTAAAAGTACCCTTATCCTGAGGCAAGCATACCAATGTTATTTCACCTTTTACATCTAGCTTTCTCTCTCATAGGTCTTTCGATGCACACTTTCCATGGCAACTTTTTTGTTCGTTCCACTGATCTTTTATCCCTGGCCAACATCAACCCGGATGCTGGATTTGCAGTGCAGCTGTCTATTGAAGAGAATCTGACCGATACTTCTTTAGTGTGTTTTCAGACAGCTCTATTATATACATCAAGCAAAGGTAACATGAACAGAAACTGAATAGAGCCTGCTGTCATTGTCCACCCGTCCTTTCATGTGCTTGCTAGTGGGGTGGGGAAAAAAGAATGAAATTAACACCAGTTACTCAACTTGTGTGTGTTTAAAACAGCAACTCTTCATTGTGAACCTTAAGTGATGTATAGTTTTTGATTCATGGAAAGATTGTGTTCTCCAGAGCATATGTTTCTGATAAAAATTCAGCTGTGTGCCATCCTTAGCATTATTTCTTGCCCCATGAAGTAAGACATTCTGTGTAACAGCTAAGACCTGCAATTATTTATTTTTCTTACATTTAGCTATTGGATATAGTTTAGAATGAATGATGTTAAAATAAAAGCCAAAAACTAATGTTCCCTTACATACAAGCTATGTGTTCATGGTCTTCACATTTAGAGCATTAACCAGTCGCTGTGGCAGCGACCCTTGTATTTCAGAGTTACTCTGGTCTCAGTGGCTGACCTTTGGGGGTAGATCTGTAGGGCTTCCTTCCAAAGTCACACTCAACAGACTTGACCTCCGGCTTGCAGTTAGCAGCCGAGCGCAGTAACGGTTGTGCCACCCACCGATGTCCGAGTGTTCCGTTTTCTTTAGAGCCTTTTTTTCATTTGTGGTTTAATCTAGTGAGAACAATACTGTGGATAAAAATCTGACCTGTTTGCATTTCTTGGTCTAATGTATTTTGTTATAACATGTTTTCATCTTTCTGTTCAGGTGAACGTCGGATTAGAGTACACACACTTTGTTTGCCAGTAGTAAGTTCTCTAGCAGATGTGTATGCAGGCGTGGATGTACAAGCTGCCATCTGCCTCCTAGCAAATATGGGTAAGCGCAAAGAGAGGCAGTGGTGAAATGTAGTATTCTGTCCTCACTGAAGTTACGGCTTTTTTTCCTTAAACACCATACAGATCTCTTATTCTGAGTATTTTTTTTTAATACTTTTATTGGGGGCTCTTACATTGCTTATCACAATCCATACATTCCTCCAGTGTGTCAAGCACATTTGCACATATGCCATCATCATTTTCAAAGCATTCTCTTCCCACTTGAGCCCCTGATATCCGCCCCCCAATTCTTCCCCCTCCCTCCCCCATCTACCCTCCCTCACGAACTCTTGATAAGTTATAGGTTAGTTTCCATATCTTACATCGCCCTCCATTGCCCCTCACCCACTTTTCCATTATTCGCCCCACCCCCCACCCCCCACCCCCCGTGAGGGGGTTCTAGGTTGATCCTTGTGATCAATTCCCCCTTCCTCCCCCCACCCTCCCCTAATCCTCCTGATATCTCTACTCTCCTTGTTGGCCCTGAGGATTTTACCTATCTTGGATTCCCTGTGTTGCAGGTTCTTTTCTGTAGCAGTGTGCATGTTCTGGTCTTATATCCGATTTGTAAGTTAGAATTGAGGTCATGATGGTGGTGCGAAGGAAACACCAAAGAATTAGAGGAAAGTTGTGTGTTTCATTGGTGCTATACGGCACCCTGACTGGCTCATCTCTTCCCTGTGACCCCTCTGTAAGGGGATGTCCAATTGTTTACAGATGGGCATTGGGTCTCCACTCCATGT